AGGCTGTGTTGCCCCCAAAAGCACCCCTGTCCCAGCCCTGCACCGCCCATCCTTAATGTAACTGGACCCGCCGAGCACCCGTGAATAGCTTCAATCCGGGAATGCTGGTAGTACGATTGAATCCTTCGACAGAGCGGTTGGCTTGCTCGGACTTTTGCGAGCTTGGGTGGAGATGGGATTGGAATTTGCACCCGATCGTGAGATGCATCCAGAGATAGTTCGTCAGGGGCATGAGGATGCAGACTGGAGTCGGCCTGGTATAAAGAGGTCGAGGCAGCGCCGCCTTGGAGACGGATAGATCCAGCATCAGCAGCATCAAACACAACATCAACACAACAACACACTTTCTCCTCAACCTTCATCTCGGACTCCGCAACTCATTCCACACACCACTTCATCACCTCACCACCTTATACCTTTCGCAACATCAAAATGGTCGCCTTCAACACCCTCTTCTCTTCCTTCGCCGCTCTGGCCAGCATCCTGCCCATCGTTGCTGGCGCCGCCGTTTCCCATAGCCGAAACACAGATTCCTCCCTGCCAGTGCTCCGCCGTGAGGCCACCTGGGACGAGTACCACGAGACCAACCGCATCTTCGCCCAGCAAGGTCTCTGCCGCTACTACATCGACCCCACGGGCCGTGACGGTCTCTGGCCCTGCCGCCAATTCTGCAAGTCCGACTCGGTCACCTGCAACGGCAACGCCAACTGGCGAACCGACCCGTCCTCAGTCCACACCAACCCCGATGGCGAGCGCTACACCTACGGCGAGTGCTGGTGCTCGAACCCCGTGCTCGAGTATGTTGTCAAGTTCACCGCCGAGGGCCTGCAGGAGCTCCCGGGCATTACTTGCGCCGTCTGGCTCGAGGCGCTGAAGCAGAGCGTGCTTCTCAGCACGTGGGTCATTCCTGGCGCTGGACCGGCGGCGCAGGCGGCCAAGACGATCATCAAGAGTGTCAAGCTTGCGGAGACGCTTGGTGGAAAGGATGGCTGGACCGGATTCATCAAGGACACCTGCCACATTGACAACTGGGACTTTGACATCGGTGCGGCCTTTGACATCTTCCAGAACGGACAGGAGTAGACGGGCAGCTAAGGAGGAGTGTTTTGATTTGGACTTGGGTATAAATTGGCAGCATCGCAGGCGTTTGGTCGGGATTGGGTTGGTGCATTGGGGGTCGTTAAATAGAACATTGATCATGGCTTTCCACACCCCGAGTTCCTTCTTTGCATCTTGATGGTCGAGTTGACGGTTGCTTCGAGGGCTCAGTGCGACATTCGCCATAGCCTTGGTGTTGATGGGTGATGGCGCCGATGAGAGCCGAACAGGCCTAAAGATCAAAGTGATTCAAATTGATGCTATCATGAGAACGCCGCCGTAATGTAGTTAGGTATCACAAGTCCGAATTTCATGCCATTCCCAAAAACTCCCAAAAAGACTTCCAGAACCCCTTTCTCCAAGACCCGTGGAACTGGTGCTTGACCAGCGCATCTGGAGGTATGCTGCCGTCGTTGGTGCTGTGCGAATGCTTCTGATTGATGCCGAAGCCATCGATTGGCAGAATCAGAACGTCCCCAAACAGGGTAGGCTCACTCATGAAAGAGAGATCTTTGGTGCTGTTGAGGGTTGGGTCGTATTCTTGCAGATGCTTGAAGACGACGGCGGTCCATGCTGCAGGCCCTGTTGTCATCAAAACCTCATCGTCGGTGGGCTTGATTTCGGCCAGGGGTACTTGGTACGTGTCGACGAGTTCGTCAAAGGCGCCGAGGGCGTGGGAGATCATGCTCCGAAACACAGGATGGCCGGGTGCGGCGGCGATGGTCCACTGGCAGAGGGAGACGTGGTGGTGGGTGCCGGGCCACTGCTTTGCGTCGTCTCGGCGGTCGTACTCGATGCCGGCGACGAGGCGGACCTTGTCCCGGAGTTTGAGGGGCACCCAGTGCTCGATGGCCTTGAGCGCGACCGTGTCCGTGTCGGTGTACACGCCGCCTTGATCCTCGAGGATCATGTACCGTAGTAGGTCTGATTTCATGCCGACATTTGGGATGTTGTCGTAGGCCCCGAGGAGTGAGTGGTTTGAGGAGCGATACTTTTCTGCTACTTCGTGGCCGCCCTCATCGCCGACAAGTGTGCTAGAGGTGTGTCAGAGTAAGGTCGAGGCATTGGGGTCTGGGCTCTTACAATTCATAGTCAGGATTCAGGGCCAGCCAGGATAGGGCGTCCTTGATCTCATTCTGGCTTGTCGAGCCAGCGACTTTGCCGAGTTGCTCCTTGAGCGAGATTTGCCAAATTTTCCGTGGAATGAGGCCCGGGTGTGGCTTCTCATCGTTCGTGCTGCCGTGTTGTCGCGGTGATGAGACGGAGCCGGCAAAAGAATCTCGTGTCTCGATGAAGAGGGAGAAGAACAAGATGGTCGATAAGAACAGGGCGAGGAGTAGTACCGGCATGAGGCGACATTTTCGCGCCGGGGAGACGCTGAGCACCCTCGACCATGGGGGCAGCGTGAGGCCCATGGCGGCGGTCCACTGGGATGCGCGATCGGAGGGAGGAGCACAGTCGTCCAAGTCGACAGCGGAGAATTCCCTTCAAGTTCGCGATGGAGATCTCAAAACGCGTTCACCACTGATGCATCCTCGTCGCGTGCAAAGGGGCTGAAAATCATCGGGCGGTCAATGATTTACGAAAGCCTGAGGCGGCTGTTGCCTAATAATTTCAAGGAATCAAGAAATAACAAGCTTTCCATTGGGGCCACTTGGGGTGGTACGACACGGGGCACCAGCCTCAAGGCTTGGTCCCAGCGTTGCCTGGTCTCAGCGCTGTTTGGCACGCTATAAAGCGAAATGACCCTCTCCACACTGCACACTGAGGTGGCCGCGAGTGCACTGACGAGTACAACGGCCCGGTGAACGGACGACGGGACGTGACGTGGACGGGATGTGTGGAACTGGAACGGTCTGGGGAAACGGCACCATCACAAGTCGTTGATTGGACCTGCCCGTGAGATGAATATGAGGTGATTCAATCTTTTCTTTCCTTTTCACTTACGCCCCGCAGCTCCGGTTGTGAAAACCTTTCCCGTGGACAGGCAGAAATGATCAGATTGTGTTGGCGGAGCTTCGCCCGGAGTCTGGGAGTGTCGCCCAGCTGAAAGCGGGTGACGTCAAAACCCCTGAGGTGGACTGCCGTGGCCCTATAAGATCATCGCATTGCATCCCTGCCCAACCGCCGAGGCTCTGGGGGCGTTTCCAGCCCCCGCAACCGACCGGGGGGCTCCCCATCGAATCACCCAAGGCGAGCCTCGGCGCAGTCTCGCCCTCGCCCGGCTTGTATTGTACCGGCAGGCTTTCACATTTTACAGCGCAGTAGGCCTCCCTGTCTTCCTGGGGCACCGCGCCACAGACGGCCGGGCATCGGAGCTACGGAGATCACTGGCTGAGGCGCTGCAAGATCCCGTCTGTCACAATTTCGCAGCCACGGGACGGCAGATTCAAGAAGCCAGGCGACCCAATTGCAGTGTCGCTCCGGCCGGACGGCTTTGACATGACCCCTGCACGGCAATTCTACCCGGCCCATGGAAGCCCCTATTCCAGCACATGCGATTTCGGACCTAGCTCACAACAGGATCCTTAACAAGCCAGTGAACCGACGGAATACTGACTGACTTCTAGAGCAGAGGACCAACCTGGGAATGCATCTTCGTCTTTTCCGACCGACATGCAATCTGCCTTGAGAAGTCAGGTCAATTGCAATAAGCGCCGAGGTTGTGCTTCTCGACTCTGGACTCCGCCCCAAACACTGGGACCGCGCCCCCTTTTCCGCGGCGGTCCCCTGTCGCGACACTGACACAATTGGCGGCTTACTACGATCCTCCAACTTTCAGCTCCGAGGAACCACGACTCCTTCTCAAATCCCCCATGCACTCAACGTCGGAATAGACTCACAAGCAGAAACATAAGCAATCTGAGGATTCATCCGATCCCGATCAAATCAGCCTGCTCAACCTCTTCCAAACGCCATTTTTGGACATCATCAGCCTTGACCAAATGTCCAGTGTTCCAGTGCATTTCAGCAGGTGCTTAGCGCTGTAACATCCCCGCCTTGGCGAGGCTCGATTTCTCGCGATGCTTGTGAGACGCTTCTTCAACCTGCCCGATTTGGTGTCTGTCTGTCATCGCCGGGCAGATTTGAGCGATGAGAAAATGCCTTCGACCTGGGTAAGATGTTCTTGAGATGTAAGAAAGGGCAGATTTCGGACAAACAAAAAGAGGCAGGAGACAGTTATAAAAGGCCAGTCTAAATCACTCTAGACGACATCATGAAGAGACATCATCATCATCGCATTCAACTCATTCAATCCATAAGCATTACCGCTTCAACGCTTCAGCAACACCTCCAACCAAGTGAGTTGAGTGTTTGGTCTTCCCTCCGAGACACCTCCCGCAACAACCCCGCTAACACTCTCCAGCACCACCATGAAGCTGTCCATCGTCATCGCCGCTCCCCTCCTCGCCGCCGCCGGCGTCGACGCCAGCCTCTCCCGATGCCGCGCAGCCTGTCGCGGAGGCCCTGCCGCCATGAACCGCTTCTGCCGTCTCCCCATCGTCCCCTTCCCCGCCAAGGCCCTCTGTTGGGCCGCCTCGACCGCCCTGCGCACCTCCACCGGCCGAACCGTCTGCTACAACTTTTGCTATGCCCGCTGGGGCCGCAAGCGCAGTGTCGATCCAGAGGACCAAGAGTTTGACTCTTATGACGACGAGGAGTTTGAGGCCGAGCAAGAGTATGAGCAGTACCTTGATGAGATCTTTGGAGGAGAGGAGCCTGATGGAACTGAGGATGTTCCTGAGGCTAGTCCCACTGTTGAGGCCTAGGGACCAGGACTGTGTGGGGGGGTGTTTGGCGAGTCATTCTTGGGGCAAGCTGGCTGGGCCCTCCTGGGGCAAGATGAGCACTTCTAGAACAACCTATAGGCTCAAGAAACGACGAGAAAGGCCTCACTGACGGCCCGGCTGGCGCAATCGGCTAGCGCATATGACTTCTACCTGTATCTAACGGTATAATCGTGTCCACCGGTCATGAGCGGTGATCATAAGGTTCGGGGTTCGAGTCCCCGGTTGGGTTGAAAACCTCGGCTGAGACCAGGGTTGCTCTTTTTGTGACGATGTGAACTTTTGTGGGCCGACACCACAAACCACCAAGACAAAATGCTACTCTTTTGTTCGGAAAACAGAGGCTCATTCATGTTTTACACCTTGGGAGCTGGTCAGAGTGAACATGGTGATCATCAGCGTAAGTAAAGACGTCAAGTTCACATTGTGAGGGTGGCAATGATCTGGGCCTGGGCCCCGAAGTTTTGATGATCCACCCCTATCGTAGGCTGGCTCCCTTCTCCGACAATGCTGTCTACGGCAGAGGACAAGACGGACGTAACTTGCCATGCAGGGGCTCTCATGCATGCTGTAGCAGATCGACCTGACTCAATTCTTCGGTACGCGGTTCAATCACCCGGTACTTGGCAAGTGGTCTCCTCCCGACGGACCATGGAGTCTCGCCTGGCCACCTCCCAGCGGAGTTTTCACATATTTGCCGGTCCCGCACCACCAGGTGGACACCTTCTCGAGCAAACCAAGCATCCCGATGGATTTAAGCTCCGGCATTCTCAATCAGATCGGCCCAGGATATCTTATGCGAAGATTCTATCATCAATGCCGACTACTCCGACTTCTCGGGAACACGGCTTAGTTGTTCACCGGTGCTGTCTGAGTAACATGATGTCCGGTCGCTGCTGCGTATAAGTCTTCATGTCAACATGCAAATATAAATGTCGGGCGTCTCAAAGCTGCACAGCGAATCATCTGTTTTTATCAGCCTCGCCTCAAGCATCACGAACGTCGCATTCCACATCATACCTAAATCATGACGAAATCATTCAAGGATATTCAGAAAGTAAGCCACAAGCAGATGTTTTTGGCTTTTCTTCATAGCAAGACTAATCCATGTCGCAGATAATCATCATTGGTGGTGGCCCAGCTGCCGTGCTTGCTGCCCTCCAACTGAAGCGCTGCAACAACATCTCGCCGGTCCTATACGAGATTCGACACAAACCGACAACTCTAGGTGGCTCTATCGGCATCCCGTCCAACGGCCTCAGGCTTCTCAACGAGCTCGGTCTTTACGATGATTGCGTCGCCAAAGGTGCCCTGACTTCCAAGATTGTCCTGCATGCCCTCAACGGCTGCGTCATGGGGACCATGGATATGGCAGACTGGAGCAAGCAACAGACTGGCTTTGGATATCTGCGAATCCGCAGAACCGACATCATGGACGTGCTTTTGGCTGCCGCCAAGAGAGAAAATATTCCTATTCACTTTGGGAAGACACTTAGTTCCATTGAGGAGAAGAATGACCAGGTGGCGGTGCAGTTTGCCGATGGGACTGCCGATGTTGCCGACTTTCTTCTTGGGTGCGACGGCATTCATTCATCTGTTCGAAAGCTGTACGTCGATCCTGGCGTGAAGCCCGAGTACACCGGCATTTCCAACATGTTCTCCCTCGTCCCGGCGAATGCCCCCTCAGCCACCTGCGATCCCATCACCAACCTCAACGCGACCTTGACTTCGGATGGGCTATTCGCCGTGAGCCCTACCACGCCAGCCAGCGACCTGCTCTACTGGTTCTTCTCCCGCGAAATCTGCCTCCCCGAGTCGGACGATGGCCGCGATGGGTGGGAGACAACAGGAAAGGCCGAGGTGGATGCCTTCATGTCCACCCTGCTCCGACTGCTGGGGGACGAACCATCTGAATGGGCCGACACGCTGAGAGGACTCGTGCAGGCAACCGACACCGTCAAATTCTACCCGGTCTACAAGCTGCCCACGGGACGGCCGTGGTTCAGGGGCCGTTGCCTGATCATCGGAGACGCCGCCCACGCCATGCCTCCCCATGCAAGCCAAGGCGTCTCCATGGCCTTGGAGGATGTCTTTCTGTTTTCCAAGTTGTTGAAGACGGAGAATTACACCTTGCACGAAGGACTGACGGCCTACGTCACGAGGCGCAAGGCTAGAACAGAGGCAATGCTCGGCAAGGCAGAGCGGAATGCGTCCGTCCGTAAGCAGACACCACCTTGGCGTGTCAGGGCCAACGAGCTGGCCATCTCTGGTGGTCTGTGGCTTTACAAGACGACAGGGCTGCAGCGCTTTGGAATTGGTCAGAAGGATCTGGTCTATGATGTGCAGAGTGAAGAGTTCTAGTAGGAGGACAGAATAGATGTTATTGATACCTTCATTTGCCTGTATCTACCGGTGGTTTTGAAGAGGCACTGCCCGATCTCAACTATGAACACAACGGATGCGGCCTTGAGAAGCCTGAGATATTATACTGCTTACAGAAGGCGCTCGTATCCAAAGCGTGGCTCTATGAGGACGCCAATCATTCACTGGCCTAATTGCAAGTTAACACTGTGACTAAGGTACATTCTATGACTGCGGTCCATCTACTGGGGAAATAACCCGAATGGATCAAAAGAAACCTCCCAGTCATCCCAGTCACTCGTCCACATAAACCCATCCAGACTCCGATACAAGTCTTCCGTCCCTGGCATACCCAAGTCCATCACATGACCACCTGAGAACTCCATCGTAGAAGCACCAGGATTAGGTACGTCTAAGTCTTTCTCGCCAATAGCTTCATCACCCTCGCCGGCGTCTTCTTCCTCGTCGTCATTCTCATCCTCTGCCTTCTCTACCCATTGCTGAAGTTTAAATTGCGCAATCCTCAACTTTGCCGCCTTCAGTATCCACATGTTACCCTCTCGTTCTTGAGAGGTTGGATTGTGAGCGGCCATCATGGCCCCAGCTGCCTCGAACTTGTCGGAGACTCTGCTGATTACCCCAGGGACGTCGATGGCCAGGCCTGGCTGCGTGGCAAGCTGAGTCCTCAGTGTTTCGAGAGCTTGAGCGACCTTATTGCTGCCCACTGACGATGGGGAGTCGTGGAAGGCGGAGCTTGCAGGTGTCGGAGGATCGTTCGACGGATTGCTGTACGATCCTGATGGGTCAGAGGGCTGGGGTGTCGGAGGAAACTGCACGCCAGGATTAAAAAGCATGGCCCATCTGCTGAGAGTGATCATGACGTAGATCATATTAACGGAAATTGGCAGTGGCATGCAGTAGATTGAGAGAACGGGCGAGTCGAGGAAGTTGTCCAAATAGGTCTTGAGTGCGGCATGAGAGCGATAGAATGCGTCAAGCGGCGACGATGCGCTGGAAAAGGGGGTTGAGGTGGTGAAGGACTTGGAGATTGACGCAAGAAGAGTGGCGTCGATTCGTGGAGGCTCATGTAGGCGGAGGCCAATGGTGTTCATTTGCAATTCGATCAGATCTAAGAGATGAGTGTGAGCATTTGTTCATCCACAAGGGGCTCAGGAAGACCGCACTGTTGCCTCTCAAATTGTGTGGGATAGAAGTGCGGAGCTTGTCCAACTCTCCCTGCAGGGCGAAGACGTAGCCCGAGATGGGAGCTTTTGAGGTGCTCACCGACTGCATGTCGGCGTCGTAACGTTCGCCAAGTTCTGTGATACGCTCAGACAGGTGCTGCATCTTGACAAAATGCACCAGATATGCATCCGAGGCATATTCCTCTGCCTTCTCAAGCTCATTCAGGCATTGCTGCATGTATGGGGAGAATCGCATAGGATCGAGTTGTTGGAAGCCCACAGATACACTGCCGCTAGTGTTAGACTTGCATCATTGTGACAGGCATATCGGCAACATACCATGAACTTAGATGCCACACAGCCAGTAGAAGCCGCCTCTCTTCGTTGGTTCGCTCCTTAACTGATCCAAGATTGACCACCATGAGTCTGGTGCGCTCCTGCCAGCTAGGTGGTCTCTTCAAGCTCAGCTCGGCTACCAGGGTCATGGCCAGTGACGTCAGGTTTTGGAGTTGACTATGCAGAAAGCAATGAAAGTTGTGCCAGCTGAGAATGACCACAATGCCCGAAAGAAGATCGAGAGACCGCTCCGATCGGATGAGCATGTGGTCCGAGATGTATGCCATCAGTTGGTACAGTTGTCCTTGCATGGAGCGCAAGCTGCGGAAGGAGGCCACCATTCGGATGCACGCCATCAAGAATGGGCGTTCAGCTTCAAGAGCGGCGGCTGTCACATGTTGCGGTATGACAACAAAGGGGTATGTTGGCATGAGCTTCTCGCGGTAGAGGCGCAGGAGAGTCTCATCATCGTCGAGCGGACCGGGGGCATCGCCCGGGGCAGGGCGGCAGAAGCAACGGGTAGGTCCGTGGGAGTTGTAAGTTTTGGGAATCGTGGTTGGCCCCTTGTGAGGAAGGTCTTCCGGCTCGACAGGAAGAGGCACGGGTTCATGGATGGTGCAGCATCTATCTCCGAAGGTCTGTGACGATGAGGCTGGAGTGTCTTCACTTGGGTCGGTGATGTTCTGGGATGAGAGGGAGTTGGCCAAAGAGGTGCGGGAAGGAGGCGATCCATGACCTGATGGTTGCAGCTGTGCGATAAGTGAGTTGAGTCGTTGCTCTAGTTCTGCGGTTCTCCTGTAGAGCGTGAAGATTAGTTTCTCATGCCGGTGTGAGGCCAGGGGTCGAGGAATAGGGGGTCATCGCGGGGTACAGCGGGCCAGAGCGACCACCATGGATATCTGGGAAAGTCTTTCGACAGGGACATGTATGGAGATGATATGATGACTTACGAAGGCTTGTTTTGTCTCTTCTTCCTCGTCTTCTGAGATCGCGCCGCGCACTCCTTGCCGAGCCGTTGGCATCTACAGCATCACTGTCAGCTCATGATCGCGAAGAGGCAATCTAGTTGAGCCACAGGCCGCAAAACGGCTGGGTCGATGCTTACCTATCGCATTGGGCACCTGGGGCTGGGTTCGATCGGAGGCACTTGGCCTTTGCCATTGAGCAAGGGGCACATGCAACCCCCCATTTTTGCCCAGTCGATCTTGGCTGCAGAGGCCCGGATGCTAGTGACATGGCGATTGATCTGGTGACGTGGGGTGCTCGAAAATAGCGCTACTTTCTTGTCGGTGACGGAATTTACCAACAGATGCCGCTGGTAGGATTGAGTGGTGAAGAATGGCCCATGGAG